GCCTGTAGTTCCAGCTACTTGGGAAGCTGAGACAGGAGGATCACTTGAGCCTAGGAGGCCGAGACTGCAGTGAGCAATGATCATGCCACTACACTCCAGTCTGGGTGACAGAGTGAGACCCTGTTTCTAAAAAAGAAAAAAAAAAAAAGAGAAAGTATTAACCAAAGGAAATGTGAAGGCAAAAGTAAAACAGTGGTCTATGCATAAGACGTGGCCAGAACTGTTGGTTTTTGTAACTGAGAGGCAGTTGGAGGCATATCCTCAGAAGAGAATTCCTGGGAAAGTAAAACAGGGTCTGTCCTCTTTCCTGGCCACATGATGGCGGTCTTACCTCACTCACTGACAGCTCAGGTGCTGGGTTGGAGTGATGAGCCAGGCAGCTGCAGGGAAGTGGCTCCTATTCATGGCATTGAGAGCCTGGCAGACTTTAGTGAACTCCTCACTGTTCCCCAATCGATTGTGGGACATTGGGGCAGTGGCTGCTGTAGGAACTTATCCACCAAGGAGTTAGTGTTACCCTTACATTTTGTGGATCTCAAAGATAACATTTCAAAAGCACAACAGGGAGGCTCTGATTTATTCATTTCATCCTAGCTGTGCTTTGGGCAACTATGAGACCAAAATCAAAACACCTGCAACTTTGTCATCTGGGGAGGATGTCACCCTGTTACCTAAATGGGGCATAACTGGGGACACTTCCCTATGGAGAGCAATGGTTCTTTGACTTTAGGCCAAATTTATATATTGTTGCAAAAACCTGGAAATTGTAGCATTATTTAGATTAATGCCAGTATTACAACATTTTAGAGAGAATGTGCATACAGCTTAGAAGAAATGCAAATTAACCAATTATTGAATCCCCGCCACTATGTATGACATCATTTGCTCTTGAAAGAATTATCTAAAAAATAAAAATAAAAATAAATCTTATGTATCTAGCTAAGGGAAATACTAAAAAAGAACAAGCATTTATTGAACATACACTATGTGCTAGGCACTGGGCTAGCTGCTTGATATGCAATTTTTATTTAGTCCTTATAACAGCACTATGGCATAAGTATAGTTATTGATTCAGAGAGGTTAGCTAACTTGTCTAAGATCACACAGTTAGTTATAGAGGAACTCAGATTCATGTTCAGATATATCCGACACTTAGTCCCATGATTATAACCTCCCTACCCAGAGACACCTAAGAAAACATGGGGCACTAATTGAAGGTCCACAATTTGGAATGTAGCCAGCCTGGGACAGTGAGAGTAAGGGGACACATTTTCTGAAAGTGTCATTTCGTGTTTATCTCCTCTTTTGTTTCTGCTACTCGTATTTATCTCCTCTCTTGTTTCTGCTACTTGTAGATACCCCGTGGTGCTCCCCCATCAAGGTGAAGTATGGAGATGTGTACTGCAGGGCCCCTCAAGGAGGATACTACAAAACAGCCCTGGGAACCAGGTGCGACATTCGCTGCCAGAAGGGCTACGAGCTGCATGGCTCTTCGCTACTGATCTGCCAGTCAAACAAACGATGGTCTGACAAGGTCATCTGCAAACGTAAGTAGGCCAGCCCTGTGTTGGGTCCTCAGGGATGACCAGAGCCAACGTTCTTTTGCTCCAAGATTGAGGATTTTCACCGAACATGGATGAGGAAAATTCTCTTTATGAGCAGGGGGACAACAGGGGGATTCTAAAGATATAGTGGAAGTGCGATGGCTCCTCTCAGAGAGAATGATATGATCAGCTGTTTGAGAAAAGGGGAGAGAAGACCATTGTTCAGAAAATGAGTTACATTTTTTCAGTTAGTGCTGGATCCTGAAGAGGTGTTGGGGATTTAGAAACAAATAAGACACACGTGGGTCCTGCCATGAAGAGGTTCTAGCAAGGCAGAGGTGTCATCTGAGAGATAAGTACAAGAAGGGTACTAAGTCAGTAGCAGATTAAAGAAGTGCTCTCCTGGCCGGGCGTGGTGACTCATGCCTGTAATCCCAGCACTTTGTGAGGCTGAGGCGGGTGGATTGCCTGAGTTCAGGAGTTCGAGACCAGCCTAAGCAACACGGTGAAACCCTGTCTCTACTAAAATACATAAAATTAGCCAGGTGTGGCGGGATGCGCCTGTAATCCCAGCTACTCAGGAGGCTGAGAAAGGAGAATTGCTAGAACCCAGGAGGCGGAGGTTGTAGTGAGCCGAGATGGCGCCACTGCACTCCAACCTGGGTGACAGAGGGAGACTCTGTCTCCAAAAAAAAAAAAAAAAAAAAAAAGAAGTGTTCTTTCAAGCAGTGGGGCTTAGGGAGGCAGGAAAGAGTCACAGAAGAAGTGATGCTTATTTATGAAAGAGAGTGTGCCTCAGGGGAGAAGATTAGAGGAGTAGCATTTCAGGGGCTGGCTTTTAGCTTCATGACAAGTCATATCTCATTTGGAAAACTGCAAGTGGTACAGCATTGTTGAAGCACACTTTAGATGTCTTTGGTATTCAAAACAGCCACCACTTTTTGAGCACTTATGGTTTGCCAAGAATTTCACATACATTTAATTTTTACAGTAACACTATCAATATGGGTGCCATTATGTTAATTTCATTGTCGGGGAAACCGAGGTTTCAAGGCTGCAGCCGTGTCATCAAGACTATGCAGACTCTGCAACTGGGTGACTGTAGTGGACAATCTGCTCTACCCAGATCTCCTCAATGCCTTTTCCTGGTTGTGTGTATCCAGTACTCAGCTTCTGAGTACTTTGCTCTTAAAGACTTGCAGCTTCAACCTCTTCAGAAGACTCCTCCTTCAGACAACCGCTCCCGCTCTCTCTCTCTCTCTCTCTCTGCCTCTCTCTCTCACTCTCGTTCTCTTTTCACAAGAGAGAGCATCTCCTGCGAGCAGCCTGTAGCTGCCCAATGACTGACTGGTAAAGAATTATGAAAGCCCAGCCTCCTTGCCTGGGGGCAGGGCAGAATGAGCTGTCATTCACACGCCAGAGCTTCCCTGTGGGATCAGGCTGCTGCTGACTTTGCCTGAGATCTCATGTTGCCTGGCTTTCTCCCCTTCCCTGTTCTGCTTTCCTCACCCGCTCACTAGTCTCCCTGGGAGCACTTTCTTACTAAACCTCAGGCACAGAAATCCATATCTCAGAATCAGCTTCTGGGAAGCTCAACCTAAGATAGTGGCTTAGCCGGGTTGCCAACCCAAGCCAGTGTGACATGAAACTTTGTCTCTTCTGTGTGACATAAAACCATCTGTTGTTTCTTAAATTCCATTTTATTTATTTATTTATTTAGACAGAGTTTTGTTCTTGTTGCCGAGGCTGGAGTTCTATGGCGCAATCTCGGCACGCCACAACCTCCGCCTCCTGGGTTCAAGCCATCCTCCTGCCTCAGCCTCCCGGGTAGCTGGGATTACAGGCACGCACCACCACGCCTGGCTAATTTTGTACTTTTAGTAGAGATGGGGTTTCTCCATGTTGGTCAGGCTGGTCTCGAACTCCCGAACTCAGGTGATCCACCTGCCTCGTCCTCTCAAAGTGCTGGGATTACAGGCATGAGCCACTGCGCCCGGCCTTGTCATATTTAAATTAACTTTTCACCCCATGCTTTCAGTTTCTAGACTCTGAAACGAAACTCTATAGACAAAAACTAAGAAATACTGAATATCTGATTTTTCTCATTTTCAGAAAAGCGATGTCCTACCCTTGCCATGCCAGCAAATGGAGGGTTTAAGTGTGTAGATGGTGCCTACTTTAACTCCCGGTGTGAGTATTACTGTTCACCAGGATACACGTTGAAAGGGGAGCGGACCGTTACATGTATGGACAACAAGGCCTGGAGCGGTCGGCCAGCCTCCTGTGTGGGTAAGAAAATGCCACAGCCCTCAAGAGGCACTTGCTTTGGGAGGAGCAGGGGGTGTTCGTATCGTGGATTGTAAAGGGAGCATCACTATTCCTCCTGCAAGGCCTAAGCATGTAACTTTGCTTTCAGTAGCATCCCTGGTTCTCTGGCTCAGCCCTAGATCTAACCTCAGTGTTTATCCTGGAGCTGACTTCATAGCTGATGGCTTCCATCTGACTTTTGTCTTTTTCTTGGTTTGCTATTGGGGCAACTACAGGCTGGCAGAGATGTGGCATACACCTGCCGATTTTAGTTCAGGGGCCTGAGCAAAGTTATTGACACTATAGGGACAGTCCAGTAGAGAACATCTATGTGTCTTTCAGCCCCAGTGTACTTCCTTTGTCATTGACTCTGGTGGTCAGTGAGCACTCAATTTGTTCAGCTGGAAGGGATTTGGATATTTTGCCTCTGGGTTTGTTGGGTAGTGAGTGGTTCCCATGGTGTGGTCCTGGGAGCAGAAGCAGCAGTAGCACCCCCTGGGAACTGTTTAGAAATGCAAATTTTCACCAACCCACCCCTACCACCTGCTGAGTCAGAAACTTTAGGGGTCAGACCCAGCACTTTGTTTTTTAATGAGCATCCCAGGGATTGTGAAGCACTCAAATAAAGAGCCACTGACCTAAGGCACTGCTTCTCAAACTTTACTGTGCAGCGAAGTCCTCTAGGGACCTTGGGAAAAATGCGGATTTAAATTCAGCAGGTCTGGGGTAGGGCCTAGGATTCTGCTAAACGATGCTTTAGGGCAAAGTTTCTGAACCTCAGTATGATGAACATTTGGGGCCAAATAATTCTTCGTTGTGGAGCCCTGTTTTTTTGTTTGCAAGATGTTTAGCAGAATGCTTGGATTTTATTCACTAACTGCCAGTAACACTGCCCACAGGGGGCACCTCACAGATGTTGCTTTCAATATCCTCTCTGTGATTTGGTATGTGCATAGCTCTTCAAAACAAACCAAAAAGAAAACTGAATCTACTCCCTCATATTGGAAGGGGCAGAGGTGATGGTGGGAGGAGAGAAGCTCTAAAATCTTTCTGCTAAGCAAGCTTTGGCAGAGTACTCTAGGGATCATACTGTTTAAATTTCCAGATTGTGTGCAACAATGGAAAGAAAATGCTGATTGTTCTAAAAAAGCAACAGCATGTCTTAAGCTGGACCAGATGGGCCTGGAACCTTCCCAGAGGGAGAGAGAATGAACCCCGAATTCAGGAGATTCATATTACAGTTTGTCAGGACAAGGTTCAGGCATATTTGGGAGAAGGAGGATTGTACATGCAATTAGGTAGGGGTGACAAAAAGGGGTAGAGGGATCCACAAGAGAGCCTAGAGCTCCCAGGAAAACAGAGAGAAATGGGCAAAGCAAGCAGGCAATTCTTTCTTTGATTTTCATGACAAACAAGCTGAGGTTTGTCCCCAGTGAATTTTATTCTAGGGGTATCATTTATTTTTTTGGCTTTAATATATTAAAATAGTTTAATAAATTTGTTTTTGTGTTGGCAGGGGTAGGGGGTCCTTGAGCGTAACTCAGAACTTCAACCTATTTTAGGAGCTGACACATAGTGGCTAAGTAGTTCCCAGATTTCCACACAGCCTTCAACAGTCTTGGCCAGAGCTGTGCTGAGTGGTGAGAAAGTTGTCCCAGTTCTCTTCTAGACTGCGAGGGAAGAGAGAAGACTGGGCTTACTTTTGACTCTGAGGTGGTCAGTTCTGTGGTCTGGCTAATTTGAAGGTGCCACAAGTTAAAATTAATTTTCTTACACAGACCATACTCTGGCAATGGGCTGAAATTCATGGTTATTTCAGAAACAGATATAGATAAAAATAAGTCTATGTAGGAGGAAAAAAAATACTGCAAATTGCAGGAGGGTAAACTCTTTGAAGAGCTACAACGTCCATTGATCTGGAAGAAAATAAACCTTAGAATGTAACCACTATTGTTTTGGGGGGATATTTTTCTTTCTTTCCATTTTTAGTTATTTTTGGTTATGTTGGCATTTAGATAGAACAATGGATAGTTGGAATCACAAGTCCTCATATAGAGACCATATTTTGAGTAGACACATGATCTTTCCTTTAGACCAACACTTCTTCCTAGGCCAAAACAGGAAGAAAACAAATTAAAGGTACTTTAAAAACCATGGACAATGAAAAACCATCAAAGGTCTTTTGACATGCAGAGAGTATCCATTTAAAATTGCTTTAACAAAAGACAATGTACAAACTTTCCTTTTTGCCCCGCTGAACAGATTGTAATAAAGTGACCAGACAACACATTTAAGTTCTAATTCTCTATCAAGGAAAACATATTTTTAAATAAATATATATGCTCCCTTATTTTTTTGTTTCCTACAGAGTAGAATAGGTGGAGATTTATTAACACAAATGAAAGTCTGGAATAAAAAATTTCGGAGTTGTAATATATGGAAATTGATGGCATACATTTCTCGTGTCCCAGCTGTCTCACAGCTGGTTTACCCAATGACCCATAGGAATGGGATCATTGCATTATTGCTGGGCTGCATTGCGTTGTTCAGTTGATGCAAACATCAGTAGGGCTAAGAATAAATGTATCCATGTATTGTTGCAAATGATGTTAAATTGTGCTAAATTCCTCCTGGGTTGACAAGTACACATTCTTTTGCAAACTTTCAGAGGCTAGTTTCAGTGTCAAAGCAACTTGTTGATTGAGATACTGATTCACTTTTTCCCTTACATGATTTGTTAGTACAAACAGAACAGGTCAACTTTTAGTGGCCCTCTCTAATATAAATGTATCACCAATGAATTTTTATTTGGGCTTCTTTCTTGTGAAGATGTTGACTTTTAGAGATGAGGTCTCATTATGTCGCCCAGGCTAGCCTCTTGCTATGTCGTCCAGGCTGGTCTTGAACTCCTGGGCTCAAGTGATCCTCCCACATTGGCCTCCTGAGTAGCTGGAGCTACAGGCATGAGCCACCACACCCGGCTATGATCATGACTTTTAAATGTGGATTTCATTGCCTCCCTTCTTGCCTCTTTTGTCTGTTTTGGAAAGTTCTCTGGATTTTTGTATGGTGCCAAACAGAGGAAACCACTTCCCAGAGCCATCCACAGAGATTACACTCTGGCTGGGGGAAGCAAACAACTGGGTGACTTTTCAATGGCCAGATTTGTTCTGCATTTGGCAGTCACTCGCTTCCTATGCCCCCTTGAAAAGAACTCTTTCTTTCTCTGTCACCAAACTCAAACTATTTTATATTTGCATCAGTGATCTGTTGCTGCACAACAGACCACCCAAAACTTAGTGGTTCCAAACAACTATGTTATTGCTCAAAGATTCTGTGGGTTGGAATGTTGGGCAGAGCTTTGTGGGGACAGCTTATCTCTGCTGTGTGTGCTAATGGCTGAGGTGACCAAGTGGAGCTGGAGGATTCAAGATGGCTTCCCTCACAGGTCTGGTACCTCAGTTGGGAAAAGTTGTACTGACTGGGGTCTGGCTGACTCTCTCTCTCTCATTTATAATTTCTCATCCTGACTACATGGCCTCTCCAGTCAATTGGACTTCTTTAGATGGCAGCTGACTTTTAACATAGTGAAAGCAGGAGGCACCAGATTCTTGGAGGGCCTGGGTCTGGAACTGGCACAGGGTCGCTTCCCTTGCATTTTATTGTTATCTGTTGGCCAAGACATTGTCCTTTTCAACCTCTTCCTTCTTTCCACTACCTACCTGGTTAGATGTGTCAAGGATTTCCAAGTAAATAGTTCAGCTTCAGCTGGGCGCTGGTGGCTCACACCTGTCATCCCAGCACTTTGGGAGGCTAAGGCAGGCAGATTGCTTGAGCCCAGGAGTTCAAGACCAGCCTGGGCAACATGGCAAAACCCTGTCTCTACAAAAATAAACAAACAAATAAATAAATAATAAAAAAATTAGTCAGGCATGGTGGTGCACGCCTGTAATCCCAGCTACTTGGGAGGCTGAAACGGGAGGATCACATGAGTCTGGGAGGTCAAGGCTGCAGTGAGTTGATATTGTACCACTGCACTCCAGCCTGGGTGACAGAGTGAGACCCTGTCTCAAAAAAAAAAGTCCAGCTTCTTAGATAAATAGTAGTTGATACAATGCAATATATTTGTTTCTCATATTTTATATGCGCAGAGAAAACTAGAGCACAGAGAAGGGAGACAGTTTATCAGATATCTCCAATGAATAAGGCAGAGAGCAGAGGCCAGAATTTTCACTGAAGGTTTCAAGATTTTTATAAACTGCAGGCATCTTAATTCAACAGGGAATAGTAATTACGTTTCTATAGTAACTTTGTTCCTTTCATTCATGGAAATGTATAACTTATAAAACGCTATTGGGGCCAAATCTGGGTAATAACAGACTTAGGTCTCTGGGGCATCAGCTGAAGGGCAGACCAGCTGGTCTCACCAGCTGAGAGAGAAGGCAGCTGCTTGAGAATGTGTCAGGATCAAGTCCTGTGGAGACTCTTCAAGGGTTCATGCGGAAGCTATGACAGGCCATCACAAAACAGTATGTGTGCAAAGGTTGGCGGAAAACACTAGGTCAGCAGCAAGCAGACATGCAAAAGGGTTTGGTTTATTAAAATAACTTCAAAATATGTAATGGCATTTAAAAATCCCAGACCACAAAGAAATTCCAAAAGAGAGGAAATGCTTCTTCCCAATCTATAAATGGGGATGCTAATAACACTGCTTAGTCTAATGGATGGTTGTGCAAATTCAGTAAACTAATATAGGGAGGATACTTAGCATGGGGTGGGCATGTAGGAAGGATTCCTCCAACATTAGTTATTATTTGTAATGATTTATTTCTTCTTGTTTCTTCTTTGGAAGAACACTGTTTCTGAAAAGCTTGGCCAGTTCAGCTGATCACGATTAGCTAGAGATAAGCTGGCTTTGGGAAACTCTGAGATTCTTCACTCAGATAACCTATCTTGGAGCCTGTGTGCTTACACTGTTAGTAGCTCTAGATACAGAAAACAAACAACAATGTATCACCCCGACATTTAGTTTACCTGACAGAGACTAAGTTGCTTTTCACTCTGACCATGCTTTTTCACTCCAAGAAAATATGGTAACACAATGTAATTTTACAGTGAAATCTATATGCTAATAAATATACTTTCTATAATGTAATTGCCAGCTCTATTTGACCAGCAGGGGGCAGTCATTATATACTTGTCTTTCTGTGAAATGTTCATCTGAATTATGAAAGTTTGTCTTCTCTCACCTATTACAGTAAAAAATTAAATTATTTTTCAAAAAAACTTAGCAACTGAGAATAGACATCTTGAATGCACTTAAGGCAGCTTCCATTTCATCATAGTATTTGTATACCTTTTAATATCCCCGAAATAGGGATGCATTTCACAATTAGGAGTGACTTAGATTCAACAAAATATGGTGGTTATTCAATTTAGGATTGGTGCATTAAGGCTGTTCAGTTCACACCCCACTGAAGCATGACATAGAATGAAAATGAATTTGGATAGCTGAAGGCAAAATGGTTTAATAAGTTATTCATAACTTCTTACCCTAAATAAAATGAGAAATTATTAGACAAGACACAGGAGAAAGTATATAAAGAATTTTACTTGGCGCATTTAGTCTCTCAAAGACATCTGTCATTCAGAATCAAAAGGACATTTAACTTTCATTAAGGCCGTACTAGCACTTAATACTTATCAGTTGATATGTAAAGTAACGTGAAGCTGAATGTCCTTAATTTGCTATGCTCTCTTTAAATACATTCTCTACCTGTTCAGAAACATTAAGTAGAATTTGCAGAAATTTGAACTTTCTCTTGTGATTTCACTTCAGCTATAAGATGAAATACAACCCAGTGTGGAGCTGACATCTTATTTACTTCGAGCCCTCATTAACCACCCATCCTTGTTATGACTATCGAGGATGTCATACCTATGACCACATAGAGAAACTACTTGAAGAAATTTGAGAGGCTTTTGGAGGTCCAGAGCCACAGTAAAACTGCTGTCCCAGAACACAAAACCATAAGTGTAGTTCAGTAGCAGTTCAAGGGGAGAATGGACCCAGACAGACCATTGCCTATTTTAAGATATTAAGCGATATGTTGATAATAGATAGCAGACAGAGAGAGAGAACTTGTTCTGGTGGCAAGTGCTCTGACTTAGATTATAATTCACAGTGCCATTATCTACATGTGTGATCTTAAATAAATTACTGAATTTCTTTGAGCCTCAGTTTGCACATCTGTAAAGTGAGAAAGTTGGGCGGCTCCTCTATACCTCCATAGCATTCACTTTTACCTTGCCTGGGGCATTGTCATTTTCTACCTCATGTTATATTTCATGTGGGGTAATGTAATCCCCCCAGTACATGGCAAATTCCCTGAAATGTCAGAAGCACATGATTCTTTTGCCTCTGTGCACCCCCAACCCCAGCAGTTGGAATGAAGCCTTGGATAAGATTGGTACTCATGAAAAATTTGTTGCCTTGAATTGAATCTGACTAGATGATAGCTAGAGTGCCTTTCTCTAATATTCCATGATGCTGTCCTCAAAGCAGGAAGTACTCACTAAAACCAAATGACTTCTAGTTTCAGCTGAGTAACTGCCATGTGGCCATCAGTAGGCAGAGTTTGGAAGCATGGGGAGGAAAGGCTGTAACTACTGAATTACCCACAGGACACCTCACAAGGCCAGTTGATTGCAGGTTTACCCTGCACATGTGAGTATTTAAACAATCTTCAAAACTTAGCAGGAGAGTAAAAGCATTATGAAGGGAGTAAAGGGGAATATATAGGATGAACAAACTCTTTGAAAATGGAGAATACCCAGAGGCTTTGGTATTTTAAACTTTGGGTGTTGAACCCCAGTTTGACTAGATATTTCTTGATGATGATGAGCATATTTTGGTTATATTTTCAGATATGGAACCTCCTAGAATCAAGTGCCCAAGTGTGAAAGAACGCATTGCAGAACCCAACAAACTGACAGTCCGGGTATCCTGGGAGACACCCGAAGGAAGGGACACAGCAGATGGCATTCTTACTGAGTAAGTGAAAGTTGGCAGATAAAATGATGTTGTCTCTTTTATGTGAGATGTTTGCTACCCAGAGTAGGGGAGTGTATATATGCTGGTCTGTTTATGCTTTCAGATGTGGTCCTCATGGTCACTACCTAATATACTATATACGTCACCTATGTATTTGTTGATTACCTGTCTTTATTATAATATGTTCACTGCTATGTCCTTAATGCCCAGAACTGTGTCTAGCACGTAGTTAGCACTCAGTAAATCCTTACTGAAGGAAAAAAGAGAAATAAGGGGTGGTGAATGATGTGATTATTATGCATTGCATGCCTGTATCAGAACATCTTGGCTGGGTGTGGTGGCTCACGCCTGTAATCCCAGCACTTTGTGAGGACAAGGCAGGTGGATCACCTGAGGTCAGGAGTTTGAGACCAGCCTGGCTAACATGGTGAAACCCTGTCTCTACTAAAAATACAAAAATTAGGCAGGTGTGGTGGCACACACCTGTAATCCCAGCTACTCGGGAGGCTGAGGCAGGAGAATCGCTTGAACCCGTGAAGCTGAGGTTACAGTGAGTCAAGATTGTGCCACCGTGCTCCAGCCTGGGTGACAGAGTGAGATGCCATCTCAAAAAAATTTTAAAAAATCTCATGTACCCAATAAATATATACCTACTACATACTCACAAAAATTAAAAATAAAATAAATTTAAAAGAAGGGGTGGTGAGAAGGGAAGGAGGAGCAGAAGGGGAAAGAGGAAGCCAGTTGGTTAATTTAGGGATAGAGTAACCCGCATTGCCTGCCCAGCCAGACCCTACTCATGCCCCCAGGCCATTACCTGCACTGGGAAGCCGTCTGTGTCTCCCAGGTGGTGCCAGAGGCTGTCGCTCTTGTGCTCTGTGAGTACAGTTTAGTGCAGAACTTTTTCACCCCTTGTTTTTTGGCTGTATTTATCTCTTTTAAAGCTTTTTAATTTATTTTTAAAACTCCTGACCATATCAGACACTTACAGATGCTTATTTAAAAAAAGGGAAGGTATCGGCCGAGCGCAGTGGCTCACGCCTGTAATCCCAGCACTTTGGGAGGCCAAGGCAGGCAAATCACGAGGTCAGGAGATCGAGACCATCCTAGCTAACACGGTGAAACCCCGTCTCTACTAAAAATACAAAAAAATTAGCTGGGCGTGGTGGCGGGTGCCTGTAGTCCCAGCTACTCGGGAGGCTGAGGCAGGAGAATGGCATGAACCCGGGAGGCAGAGGTTGCAGTGAGCCGAGATCGTGCCACTGCACTGCACTCCAGCCTGGGCGACAGAGTGAGACTCTGTCTCAAAAAAAAAAAAAAAAAAAAAAAAAGGATGGTATCTTCTGCTTTCTTCCCCACCTCTACCCCATTCTCCTGGACCAATTTCATTCATAGTTTGACATATATCTGAGTTGCTTTTTGTTGGTATGTTTGTTTTACCAACCACAATGAGAAGCACTGTTAAGAAGCTTTTAAAAATGGGTGGATCCCTTTGTGAGGGTTAGCTATGTGTTGTTCTAATCTAGCATTTGGGCCTGTATCCCTGCAACTGTTTGGTTGGCCTTCATATTCCCTGGAGACCACTACTTCACGTTAGCATGTTCATATCTGTGCCTTAAAGTTTACGGGCATATTAGAGCTTCCCACTGAGTTTTCATCTGTAGATAAAAGGATACCTCTAATTTATCTCCTGGTGATCCATAAAGCAAGAAAAGACTTTCTAGAATCCTATCAACCCAGGCTGTGCATGACAAAACATTTTTACACGATGATTAGGCAATAACAGTACATTTTCTACTGAGAGGAGGCAGGACATTTTGTTCCTACATTCCAATAATCTTCCCCCAGTGCCTCATCTAGCTTAAGTAATACTACTAGTTATGCTCTCCCATTGTAACTTCTCAAAGATAAAGTTTGACCATTAAAAAAGTATTTGCTATCACATACACATCCCACGAATCCCTTTGGAGAAAATGTAGGCAATCAGAATTGAAAAGTAAGTTGACATAATCAGGTATTGGATTTTATTTACCTTTGACCCTTCAGGGTCTAGCACAATGCCTGGCCCAGCCCCTACCACATAGTAGGTTTTTAGATTTTTGCAACTCTGACTGCTGTTGAAATCCTGTGTAATAAACACAAAACATCAAACCATCAGATGACTCTGTTTGTCTACAAGCTTTGTGAGAATATTCACCTTGCTGTTTTTGCGGGTAACTTGTGTAATATGGTTAGGAGTGTTACATTTTATTTGATTTTTTAAATTTTTTGAGACAGAGTCTCACTCACTCTGTCGCCCAGGCTGGAGTGCAGTGGCAAGATCTTGGCTGACAGCAACCTCCACCCCCCAGGTTCAAGCGATTCTCCTGCCTCAGCCTCCTGAGTAGCTGGGATTACAGGTGTGTACCACCACACCCTGCTAATTTTTGTATTTTTAGTAGAGACGGGTTTTTGCCATGTTGGCCAGGCTGGTCTTGCACACCTGACCTCGGGTGATCTGCGCGCCTCGGCCTCCCAAAGTGCTGGGATTACATTTATGAGCCACCGCACCTGGCATGATTGTTACATTTTAAAACAGCATCAAAGTACTCTCCTGTCCCTTTGTTCAAAGCAGCTGTCTGCTTCCAGGGTTCTACAGCCCAGAGGCCAGAAAGGTTTAGAGCAGGATGTGATGGGAATGCACTCCAACAGGATGAGGAGCTCAGAGAAGGCTGTCTTGTTCCCTTTACAGCTCTCACTTGGGCTCCTTGCTGCCCTGGCATTTCTCCTATGACCCCTTCCGCCATTTCCTATCCAAGCTACTGCTCTATAGCTCCCTTGTGAGGGAGAAGGTTCTAGTGTCAAGCTCTGAGATAAGTGCTTCTTGTGAGTTCCCTTATTTACTCCTTCTGTTATTTGCATGCCACAGGCGAAACAAAGTCTCAGAGAGGCTACATCTACTTATATTTGAAGTATCACTCCTCTCAGGTGTATCTGAATTTAAGTTGTGCTTTCTAAAGACCTTAAAGCATCTAAAGCCAACAGCAGCATGTCTCAAAATAGTGGGATTTCTGACATTTTCCCACGACCCCTCTCTCATACCTGGTAAACAGCCACCTCACCCACCTACATGTAAGGCTTTCCTCAATGGTGACAATGATAATACCACATGTTCATTATGAGCACATATTCTCATCATTCCCTGAACTGTAGGGAGATGGGGAATTTATATGTATATTGAAAAACAGAACATGGATTTTGATCATGCTATACTGATGGGTGTTCTCATTAGGCAGCCAAGAAAAAAGATGAAGTCACCCTAGCTGTGTGACCTTGGGCAAGTTATTTAGCCTTTTTATGCCTCAGTTTCCTCATCTGTGAAATAGAGATAATACTACCTACCTAATAGGGTTGTTGGATTAAATGAGGAGGATTACATAAATATATGCAAAATGCCTAGAACCATGCCTAACATGTAAGATTTATGTAAGTGCAAAGAACACTTTTAGTCATTATTATTGTTATCAGGATAACCAAGGAATCACAGAGAACTTGCCTTTAGGTCTCCACAGTCCCAGATAGAAAGAACAGAGAAAGTTCTAGTACACCCTGCAGGCCCAAATTGCCAGTGACTGCTTGGACTATATTCTCTAATGATTTTCCTCACAGAAAATTCCCTTGTCTTCCCAACAGTGAGGCAATTCAGGTCCCACCTGGAACAAGAGTGAGATTGAAGGAAGAGACTTGGGCCCTATATTTTTCATGCTCCCTCCTCCCTCTACCCACTTCCCCACCATTCTACCTACAGCTGGAAAAAAGTCTAAGCTTCCCAGTAGTTTGGGTCTTCCATTTTCTGGGCACAAACTGCTCTTCTAAAACAGGCTAAAGCTTAGGAGATTCTATTCTTTGAGAAATTTTTGTTCTACTTAAACTAGTCTAATTGTTGCCCCTCAGTCTCTCCATGTCCTGTAAAGAGTAGGGGGTCGTCACTTGCTTGTCAGATCCATAATGTCATCTTTCCTGTTTCTGATTTTTTTTTTCTCTCTAAGTGTCATTCTGAAAGGCCTCCCGCCAGGCTCCAACTTTCCAGAAGGAGACCACAAGATCCAGTACACAGTCTATGACAGAGCTGAGAATAAGGGCACTTGCAAATTTCGAGTTAAAGTAAGAGGTAAGAATACTGCTTATTGTGCCCCCACCCTCCCTTTAGAAGAGCAAAGGGAAGCAGGTCCTCAAGCCAGAACTCTCTCAAAAGTGCCTACTGTGGTGGGAGACTTGCCAGCTTTAGATTAGCCTCTAATGAGACTTGGAGAAGTGCCCTATCTTAATGCCTGAATTTCATGATACACATATGGATGGGCGTCAGTGTTGCCAGATTATTTAAGGAGTTCCCAGGACTAGTCTTACAGGAGCCCATAGCTGACTGTCCCGGAAGAATATTATTCAATAATTTTTCCATCCCTGAGCTTAGGTGACCAGCTGAAGCCTGTGAGTCCATCTACAACTAGGGTGAATAGGAGCCCCCTAATTTGGGCCACCAGGAGAACATGTTCTTAGTGTTCTGGAACCATTGGTATGAAAGAAAATGTTTTTAAGTCTTATTTTATGCCTGATGGTTTGGGCAACTAATTGCTAACCATCTTTACTCCTTACTCTTCTGGACTTCACTTCCTCATCTACAACACTAGGAGCTAAACCAGTTGATATCAGTGGTCTCATTGGTATGGATGGGTGACCATTGCAAGGCTCACCCACTGACCAAATAGTCATCCCTCCTCCCTCACTCATTTCACAGGCTGATGTAGAAGCCTGATTGCAAAGCTGATGCCCCTGCATCCTCACCTTTTCTGCTTACTCTGTGGATGGGAGCTCAGCACTGAGACCCCTCTGGACTTGTGTCCCTACAGTCAAACGCTGTGGCAAACTCAATGCCCCAGAGAATGGTTACATGAAGTGCTCCAGCGATGGGGATAATTATGGAGCCACCTGTGAGTTCTCCTGCATCGGCGGCTATGAGCTCCAGGGTAGCCCTGCCCGAGTATGTCAATCCAACCTGGCTTGGTCTGGCACGGAGCCCACCTGTGCAGGTATGTACGCAGCCCCTCCAGCCTGCAGCAGAACCTGTAAACCCCTTGGTTCTTGATTCCAGTGCAAGAGAGGTTTCCCTTCATAGACTCTGAGAAGTTCCTGGCCATCCCTCTTTATCTGAGTGGATGAACATAGTCCCTAGATCCCTGCCGCAGCTCATCTCATCTGTTATCCGTCTTGCTTCCGCCTATCCTCTAATTTCCCTTTCATGTCCTCTAAGGAAGAAGCTCAAGGTAGGAACCTAGGGCCAGCCTTTGGTGACATTATGAATCAGCAAAATTTGCTGTAGTTTCCTTTGTTCTAGAAATGTAAGGATCTTGTTTATAAAGCCAGTACACTGTCATGTAGAGACAATATCATACCTGCTTTGCATCACTGGCATGAATATCACATACACTTTGGGCATTTGGAATCTTTCCTCCTATGTAAAATGAAGAAAATAATACCTCATCTACCTCTTGAGTTGTTGTAAGGATTAAATTAGGTCATCTGTGGAACAGTGGAATAGAGCAGTGCCTGGTACAGGTAAAACCTTATGCCAGCTCTTATTCCTGATGAACAAAAATTGGGCTGGGTAATGAGTCTGAAACTTGGGCTAACCAGAAAATTATGGACGTATCTCTTGTTTATAGACTTCTCTTTTTCTCATTTCCTGGTACCCTTTCATCTTTATCCCTTTCTTTTAATTGAAGCCCCCATTTAGAGTTAAGTGATAGAGACACATATATACCATCAGCTAAATGCCTGAGATTCTTCAATTTCATGTGTTAAAGTAGAAAGAACACACCTATTATAGACTCCCTACCTAAGGACTTCATGCCCACCATGTTGGCATTAAGGCCTGGGGTGTGGTGTCTAACAGGCTGCTAGACCTATGTGGTCCAACATGGTAGCCACTAGCTATGTGTGGCTACTAAGCACTTGAAATGAGGCTATTCTGAATTGAGATATGCTATAAGTGTAAAGTATATACCAATTTCAAAATCTTAGTGTGAAAAAGAATATAAAGTATCTTAATTTTTTATATTGATTACATGTTGAAATGAAATATTTTGGATATATTGGGTTAAATAAAACATAAAGTCATTTCTACCTATCTCTTTATACTTTTTCTTTTTGTTTGTTTGTTTGAGCTGGAGTCTCACTCTGTCGCCCAGGCTAGAGTGCAGTGGCGCGATCTTGGCTCACTGCAACCTCTGCCTCCTGGGTTCAAGTGATTCTCCTGCCCCAGCCTCCTGAGTAGCTGGGACTACAGGTGCGTGCCACCACGCCTGGCTAATTTTTTGTATTTTTAGTAAAGGTGGGGTTTCACCGTGTTAGCCAGGATGTTCTCGGTCTCCTGACCTCATGATCTGCCCGCCTCGGCCTCCCAAAGTGCTGAGATTACGGGTGTGAGCCACTACCCCCAGTCTCTTTACACTTTTTTAATGAGGCAACTAGAAAATTTAAGATTAAACATAGTGGCTTACATTGTATTTCTTTTGACCAGAGCTATCCTAGACTCTGAGCCCCTGGGGCAGGGAAGAGGGCAGGAACTGGGTATCACTCAGTGTGACATCCTAGTACCTAGCGTAGAGCGTGGCACATGGCAGGCACTCAGTATATAATGGCTGAATGAATTTATGTGTGAATGAACAGATACTTCAATGCAAACCTAAAATGTGAATTATGAAAACCAAGATTATAAATCATACATGGCATCTACTAGTTTTTCTCATATTATTTCTTCTTTGGAGCTAAGCCTTTTGTTTGCTTATCTATATAACATCCTTCATTGACCTTGAACAGCTGGAATTAGTTGTCATGTATTTGCTTAAAGGGAAGACCTATTATAAAACTGCCTTGTCCCATGTCCTCTATGCCTGTGTTGCTTGCTCTGTGGCCTTTGTGTCCCACATTGCTTTGTCCCTTCTGCACCAAAGAGGCAGACTTCAGAGATTCTGAGCCATTCCAAAGCCAGCCTGGCCATTGCCCATTCTCTTACCCTTCTGCCTCTCTGCACCCCTTTCCCTAGCAGATACTATGGTGCTTGGCCCATATGCCTTTCACATTCGCATCTATGTTCAAAAGGCTACTTACTGCAATTAACTGGGTCTCTCTGTCTGAGAGCGTATTTTCCCTGGCTATGAAAGCACTGTCAGCCCATGCACAGAGCCAGCCTGAAGTGATGGAGAGCTAGTGCCCCAGAAGCAGCCCTCAACAATGATGGAGCAATTGTATAAATACTCCAGTTCCCTCCAGTGGGTTAATTCTGGAGGTATGTTGTATATCATCTCCTAGAGTTCCCCAGTGGGAGTGAGTTCCAAATGCCCACAGCAACAACTTGCTTGATAACCAACTGGTATTGTTTTCTTTGCCTCACTGTCTCACTTCCTGACATAGGCAGAATAATGGTCCACCAAAGATGTCCACATCCTAATCCCCAGAACCTGAGAATATGTTACCTTACATGAAAAAAGGGACTTTACAGATGTAATTAAGTTAAGGATTTTGAGATGGGAAGAGTATCTTGGAATACCCAGTGGGCCCAATATAATCACAAGCCTTCTTATATAAAGGAGGCAGAACTGTGTCAGAGTCATAGAAAGAGATGATAGAAGGAGAGATCAGAGAGAAGAGAGATTTGAAGATACTACACTGCTATCTTTGAAGATGGAGGAAGGGACTACTAGCCAAGGAATGAAGGTGGCCTCTCGATGCTGAAAAAGACAAGAAATCAGATTCTCCCCTAGAACCTCCACGGGAACATAGCCCTGCCAACACCTTGATTTTAGCTCCATGAGGCCAGGATCTTTTCGATCCTGACCTGCAGCATCTAAAATAATAAGTTTGTATTATGTTAAGTCACTAGGTTTATGGTGATTTGTTACAGCAGCAAGAGGAAATGAATATACTTCCTCACTCCTCCACAAGTGCTTCTTGGGACCGCCTCCCAAATAAACTACTTACACTTGAATCCTTATCTCAGGGTTTAATTCTTACACAAATGGTCCTGTGTGTCATCACAGGCTCTGTTGAGCCAGAACAAGCAGAAGGTTTCTGACCCATGTGGCCATTTCTGATTACAGCCATGAACGTCAATGTGGGCGTCAGAACGGCAGCTGCACTTCTGGATCAGTTTTATGAGAAAAGGAGACTCCTCATTGTGTCCACACCCACAGCCCGAAACCTCCTTTACCGGCTCCAGCTAGGAATGCTGCAGGTGAGTCCTCGAGGCAGGGCCGAGGTGGCAGGGAGACCTTTAACAGGAAGGGCCCAGCCATTTCACTAAAAGCAAAGGCCAGATTCAGTGCCTAATCCACTTACAGTGAGTTTCAGGAACTGACACTTTAGAGCTACCACCATTCATTTCTGGTTCTGGGCCATAACCTGATTAGCATTGACTCCTTAGAGTTAACCCAATCGTTTTCCAACTAATGAGGTTGCCTGTCTTCACCAATAAGTCTAATTGACATACTGTCCAGGCCTAGCCACAGAACAATTGTCTTTGCTGAACCTGTCCAGGATATGCCTGGCTGAAAGCAATCAATTAGCTGCCTGCCCAAAAGGCTGGCCCAAGAGATGAAAGGAATCCAGGAGCCCTCAGTCCCCACATTTTTCCCAGGGAATTTCTTTGACTCTCAGAGGGTGACAGCCATTTTTTTTAGCACAGTGGTTCTCAACGTGTGATCCATGGACTGGACCAGCAGCATCAGCATCACCTGGGAGCTTGATAGACATGCCAATTCTCAGGGCCCCTCCCAGACCCACTGTGTCAGAATCTACACTTTTAACAAAATCTCCAGGTGATTCCTAAGCACTCTAAAGTTTGACGGGCACTTTTCTGGGAAATATGTCCTTCTCAACTATGTAAATTTTGTAGCTACTAAATGAGCAACCAGCATCTTGGGTATGTGGGGAAGGATGACTAGAAACTATAAGGATCAAACTAGAAGTTGCTTGCTTTTGTCCTGAAGCTGGTTTGCAAAAGAGTGGCCAACTTCACTGAATACTAAAGAGGCAGGATGTATGCTGTGCCATGGATACAGTGCTGCACATTTTTTTTGAGAATATTTTATTCATTTGTTACAGTGGATAGAACTAAGTGCTTAAAACAGTCTTGATTTAATCAAGGGCTACAATTTACTCCTCATGTCAGCATTAATAAAATATATAATAATAAGTCTCTTTTCACTCTTCCCACGTACTTGAAGAATTGCCTATGAACTCTGAAGAGCCATATAAAATTTTTGTGAGCTTCCTTAATAGTAACCAAATTCATTGCATCCTTACCCCCGTTCCCCACCAGCTTACCTCCCCTTGTATCTCCTTGTCCAAGCCAGGGGCCTGCTCTTCAGAAAAGACAAGCTTATACTTCTCTCTTTTGTGGGAAATTGGCATTGCAGGCTATATTCCACGATCATGCATTTCCTCATCCGTTCTTATTCCATAGGAAAATGAATTAAGTCAAACAACTCGCTTTTCCTCTGTGTCAGCAAACTATAGTGACCCATGACTAGTTTCGGTAAATTAACTTTTATTGGACACAGTCACACTAATTCATTTGTGCATGATCTACAACTGCTTTTGCACTACAATGATGGAGTGAAGTGATTAGGACAGAGGCCATCCAACCTTGCCAAGCCTGAAATACTCTCTGGCCCTTTACAGAGAAAGATTGCCGTCATTGCTCTAGTCTGTCCCATCCCTTCAGACACTTGCTAACTTAACAACTGGTTGGATAAGATATTTAATATCAAGATGTTTTGGTGTGACCTCCTCTTCCAAATATACTTACGTTTGCATTTTAACCAGAGCCTTCAAAGAAAGGTTTGGTTGACATAGGCATTTCAGTGAGAGTAATACAAAAGCCTATTTCTAACTTTTGAAACTTCTCAACCAGTTCTGTAACTTCATGTAGGGACGTTTCAGTGGAATTTTGGTAAAACATATTTGATGTTTTCATCTTTCAAGACTTCAAAATTTCTTTTCCCATTTAGCCAAATTCATCATATTTGTCTTACATTACTTTTTCTTAATTTTTTATTTTTATTGCCATTGCCATTCCTGATGAGCCCTGCTGACACGTGGTTGACTGGGCCACATTCCCAAGGTTCTTGGCAAGAGCCAGCTTAGAGGCTTGGAACCTTTTATCCTCTTTTCCCCTGGGATTGGGTGTGGAGGGCATAGGGCAGGGGAGTGTGGAGAGTGGAAACAGAGCAGGGAAGTGGACTCTGGAAATAGAGTAGTCTTCTGTCCTTGCAAAGAAAAAGTTAGAATCCTCTGGGGTGGTCTTGGACACTTTTTAGGAAATTTGACTCACTCAAGGTCTCACCCTGTCTGGAAATACATAGACTGCCCTTTTGCTTAGGTTTTCAAAATCCCACTGTCAAGCCATATCGGAATGATTCCTCCAGGAAAGGTATTTAGGTTTTATAGCCACGAGCTTAACCCCAATTTCTCATCTGTTTTCAGTACAGTTCAGAGTGAGCAAATAAAGTTCCAGAGACAGGCCAGTGCTACTTCTGTCGGTTTCTAGTTTGATAAGGATGTCTTTTTTCACCATGCTCATACCTCCCCTGTTGGGTTTTCTTTTTCCCAGCAAGCACAATGTGGCCTTGCTCATACCTCCCCTGTTGGGTTTTCTTTTTCCCAGCAAGCACAGTGTGGCCTTGATCTTCGACACATCACCGTGGTGGAGCTGGTGGGTGTGTTCCCGACTCTCATTGGCAGGATAGGCGCAAAGATTATGCCTCCAGCCCTAGCGCTGCAGCTCAGGTAGGGGAAATTTCTGTTCTTAAATCTTATCCCCTATGAATGCACTTTTAACTGATTAGGTTCCCTGGTTTCTTTCTATTCAGGATGGAGTTCAGGCAACCTTCAATGTTTAATTGCTTTTATTCTGGGAGTGTTATAACCATGCTGATCAGTATGTTGCTGTTTGTTCAAATAAATCGTGCAATGGGTAATTACCAGTGTTTTCTTTCTTACCCTCTCCAACCAACCGTTTTTGCTTCGCGCACATGTGTGTGTGTGTGAGAGTGTGTGTGTGTGTGTGTGTGTGTGTGTGGTTGGTGGAGGAAGGATGGCTAGGAGAGGAGGACCTGAAAAAAAGACTTAAGCAATCCTTGGTCTTATTAGAAAAGTACGCATCCAATTAGTCTTTCCAGGCTTGGTCTCTTTTTTCTCCATTCTTGCAGAACACTTGTTCATACCTCTGTTTTAACAATTATGTTTTACTTTCATAACCCTTACAAAGTTGGAACCGTGGATTTTAGTCTCCGAATAATGATGTATTAAAGAAGCAGAATTCAACAACCAAAAGATAGTTTCAGAATAACCCAAATTTCTGCTTGCATCTCTTGACCACTGTAAAATGGATAATTAGACTAAAGCAAAACTCCTTAAAATCTTCCTTTCTCACCCAGCCTTTTCAAAACCCATTCAGAAAATTCTGCAACAAGTTTTAAAAAATCATTGACACAGGATATGAGCAAGTAGTACTAAATAAGCAACAGCTTCAAAAAACCTACTTTGAGAATATTCACCATAAATATTTAGATATCAACACAACTCTCTGTCTTAAGTTTTGTACAGTTCAACTTGAAATAAGAGGATTCATGAGTTCTCTTTAGTCGACTGATGAATGGAGAAGGCTGGGTACACTCATGTGCTTTTCTTTTTGTTATATTTTACTGCATTTGCATGTAGCACCTCCCCATACCGACTTTTGACATCAGTAGCAGAGCTTTCAAATGTTTGCTACTCGGTACCTAGCACAGTACCTGGCACCATGTTGGCGCTAAGTGGAGTAAACGACTCAAAATTTCATTGAAACAGCCTTACTATTTCCAGAGTTGATAACAGCTTTTAAAAGTATATTGTATATTTACAGTTAGTGTACAAATACTTCAAGTTGAACTGTACAAAACTTAAGACAGAGAGTTGTGTTGATATCTAAATATTTATGGTGAATATTTTCAAAGTAGGTTTTATGAAGCTGTTGCTTATTTAGTACTACTTGCTCATATCCTGTGTCAATGATTTTTTAAAACTTGTTGCAGAATTTTCTGAATGGGTTTTGGATTGAATGTGTCTGTATGTGTGTCATCTTCATAAAATCTTGTTGTGCTTTTAAACTGTTGAATCTACTTGAAGAACAGAAAAATGCGATTAAAAAATACTTGCCATTCAGATTGTATATGTTGGGGCTGCCATAGACTTCTATAGGCAGAAGATGATTTTAAATACATTATATGGTGGTTCTCAAACTTTTAGCCTCCATCAGAATCTCCTGGAGGGCCTGTTACAATACGTATTGCTGGAGTCTGCACTGTAGGCTGTAAACTGCGTTTCTGATTCAGTAGGTCTCTGGTTATACCCGATAATATGCATCTCTAATGAGCTCCCAAAAGATCACATGGTGAGGACCACTGGCCTAGTTTTTTACCGAAAGCTTTACAGTTTTGAAATAGAACTTTTGCCCAGCAGCCTTCAAGAAAAGGGCCAATCTCTATTTTGCAGCTGGATGATAGTCCAGGTAAAAGTCATGCAGAAATGATCACTCAGGTGCATTACCTAATGGATTCTGTGTCAGGCCGGCATGCCTGTGTTATCAGACATATCAGTGAGAAACAAAGAGCTTGGCAGAACTTTTTCCCTTTGAATTGGAAAGGTTTTTTTAGACACCTTGGAGTCTACTGCAGAGGAAAAAAGATGATTTAGGCAAAGAATGGGAAGCGAAAGAGGAGAAGGAAAAGCATAATGCCTGCATAATCTAAAAATTATTTTGTCTGGCTGTAAGACTATTTTCAAATAGCGCTGAGGCCATGATAAAACCCTTGAAGGGAGTCAACAGAAAGAAGAGACTGGGTCCCTGGGGTTGCAGGGTCACCACCTACCTTCTTCCTTGCCCTCATTTCTTTTTTATCTGGAGGTATGATCTGATTCATGCTTTCCAGAGGAATTTTCCAGCAATCTCAAGGAAGACGGGGACCAAGAAAGCCATAATTTCTATACCCACATTATTCTTTGAGTCTACAGTGTTCCCTGGAAGATTTTCCAGGAAGAACTCCTTCTAATCTGACGACAGAAACGTATGTAACTCAGACATACTGTCGGCATCGCACCTCATCCCCGATTTTGTGTGGTGTTTGATCATTCATCCCCAAGATTTCTGTGGTCTTTCGGCCCTAGTGGGATGCATTCCTGTGGCTGCTGCTAGCCTGCTGATCCAACCACTCAGCTCTTCCCATGACAGTTTTCCCCCTTTACATTCTGTGTCAATCAAGGCACAAGACTTACACAGGAATGTGTGTGGTAGCAGATGGTGGCACCGTGGTGGTGGTGTGTGTGGGGGGGTTTCCCATCCTAGTCTCACAAGCACTATAAAAAAAAATGAATGCTCCAATTTCTTATTGGTCACCCTTTCCCACAGGCTTCAGCCACCATATTCCCTATTCCTCTGTTTCCTGAGAGCTCCCTGTGCCAGAACTCTTCCATGCTCCCAAAAGTAAACTCAATACCCTTCCTCTTAAAGATGCAGAGCATTTTATCTCTTCATTCACACCCTACTTTGCAGCCTACATTCGCGTGTTCGGAACTCATTAATGCACTTTGCAGTCATCTACTTCTTAGCTCCCCTCTTAGCACTGCAGGAAACCTGGCAGAGGCACTGTCATGTCCTCTTTTTTTGCATTTCTAGTCACTGGGAGTGAATTTGCGATTTAGCTTCCCACTGGGATAAAATACAAATTATTCCCTTCTTCCTTGAAACTCCCTCTTAAAAGGCAGAAAAATGTAGTTTGTGTTTTATGTAATGATTTTTTAACCTTGATCTGTTTGTATGAGGAAAACGTATTTCACTTTACATCCAGATGACAGTGTATATTCTGCCTCATACACAATCTCAAAATATCTAAACTGAAAAAAAAAAAAAATCTGGAGAAGAGAGTGAGTGGGCTCATTTGTTCATTGGGCTCAGCTTATCTGTTTGTTTGCTTTCTCTAGCTATTCTCATCAAATATGTTTGTGTTGATATGAAAATCATATTTTTTAGTTTAAATTCTAGTGTGGTAGAGCAGAAAGAACACCAGACACTTGAAACCACTTCATATTCTTTTTTGGAGTTATTTGGGGTACAAATTATGATTAACCAAGTCAGAATACATGGGGTATAGACCAAGCTCAATCCCTTATAACTCTGTAGTCCTGAGCTGGCCACTGAATAGGCCAGAACTATCATGCTGGGAAATGATGTCAATCAGCTTTACCTAGCCCAGAGTTTCTCAGCCTTGGCACTATTGCTATATGGGGATAGATAATTCTTTGTTTGGCGGGGAGAGTTGGCTGTGCATTGCAGGATGTTTAGCAGCATTCCTGGCCACTACCCACTAAATGCCAGTCACATCTTCACTCTCCACTGTGACAACCAAAAATATCTCCAGACATGGCCAAATTTCCCCTGGGAGCGGGGAGCAAAATCACCCCTGTTCATAATCACTGACTTAGTCCTAGTGTGTATGTGGTCATGCAACACTAGTCAGCAAATGTGGGTTTGGGGTTGATTCCAAACTTGGGTTGATTCCAATTTAATGAAAAAAAATCTGTTAGCCTTGTATGCACCTTGTACCAAATGTTGGTATATGGCATCATTGTAGGCTGGAAGTCTTCCTGACTATAATCTAAAACTAAAGCAGTGCTTTTCAAACTCTCATGTCCATACCAGTCATCTGGGGATCTTGATAATAATGCAGATACTAATTCAGTAGGTTTGGGGTGGGGCATGGGAGTCTCCATTTCTAGCAAGTTCTCATGTGATGCTGCTGGTCCAAGGGTCACAGTTTGAGTAGACAGGGTCTAAAGGATGATTCAGTCCTTCATGGTATCAAAGCTTTCTCTGCACACGGTCACAGGAGGGCTCTGGTTGACCCACCAGGACCCTTGGAAGTCATGGTTTGACTTAGTCTCCTCTTTTCTTTGTCTGCCGCAGGCTGTTGCTGCGAATCCCACTCTACTCCTTCAGTATGGTGCTAGTGGATAAGCATGGCATGGACAAAGAGCGCTATGTCTCCCTGGTGATGCCTGTGGCTCTGTTCAACCTGATTGACACTTTTCCCTTGAGAAAAGAAGAGATGGTCCTACAAGCCGAAATGGGCCAGACCTGTAACACCTGACATGATGGTTCCTCTCTTGGCGGTTCCTCTCTTGGCTGTTCCTCTTCATTGTCTACATAGTGACATGCACATGGGAAAGCCTTAAAAATATCCTTGATGTACAGATTTTTATTTGTAATTTTTAAAGTCTATTTTATTATGAGCTTTCTTTGCACTTAAAAATTAGCATGCTGCTTTTTGTACTTGGAAGTGTTTCAAAAAACTTAAATGACTGTATTTACTCTTTCTAACTTTCTTTACTCCATCATGGCTGGTTGATTTTGTAGAGAAATTAGAACCCATAACCATACACGGGCTATCAACATGTTATTCAATGTGATACCTAACTCTTTTCTATTTTGTTTTTTAAATAAGACTTTTATTAATAAAATGTTTTGGAGCAAATTTAGTAGAACTCACTTTGTTTATCAAGCACCAGCCATACTTGTTCAGTGTGGTCAGTGGTTTCAGGGTTGTGATCCTTAGTGGTGTTTTAAGAATGGAAAAAAATTTAATTAGTCTTTTAAGGAGCTCTGCTGAGCTGGGAGAGAGCTGAGCTGTTGGGTGTTCAAGTAGCCAATTAAAGCCACAAGCTGAAAATGAAAGAGCTAAGCCTTCAGTCATAGTGATGGAACAAGCAAGAGTCTAAAACCAGAGGAAGCATCAACTTCACTGTTCCATTTTCCCCTGTGGGACAGCACACTGGTCAAGATTCAAGTGGAGCAGCACAGATGTGGGGTCATCTTTCTATTGAGGGAGACTCGAACAAAAGGCTCTGGCAGTTTTACAGACCCTGGAGTCATGTGGTGGGGTAGGAGTGGAAAAGTCCTGGGTACTGAGGCAGAGTGAAGGAAAGTATCTTCAAAATTTTCCCCTTTTCCTTACCCCATAAGATCTCAGCAGAGGAACCTGAAGACCTCTTACCCAAGGCCTCAGATAAAGGGCCTAGAAATGAAAGCACAGGGCTAGGAATGTAAATATGTGAAAGAGTGTGATTGGCCAGGGGGTCTGAGTCTTTGACTGCAACACCCCACAGAGACTGCCATATGACTGGCTATGCACCAAATCTGGTGTGTGGAGGGCAGCTTTTCCGGTGAAGCCTACCAGGTAAAGTGTTTATCATCACCTAGGGTCAGGCCTGAAAAATCACATATTGGTTTTTAACCAGTAGCCAGACTCCTCAATTCTCCCATGCAAACCTTGAAGTTTTTCCTCCATTTTCAGAATATCAGTTTGGTTCAAAATCTATTCCTAAACAAAATAACTAAGTGAATGATATTTCCCGCTGATTTCCCACTGAAAATCTTGCAGAAGTTTTCTATGTACCTTTTGGACCTTATAGAAACAATAGATAAATTCTAACATGCAGAGATTTAACACAGAAAGCAGATTTAACAAATTTTTTTTTTTTAAATATGAGGCAGGGCCATTGCTGAACTGCCAATAGGTTTACACTCTATTTACAAACTTGATTTTGTTTACAAAGCATACTAGAAGCCACTTTTTGACTTGTGTCTTCTTCAGATATATCAGAAAGGTCAATGGCATGGCCCATAGAGGAATGTCAAATAGTGACCAATTGGAAACCATGAAAAGTTCGAGAGGGCTGGGAAGAGGGTGAGGGATAAAAGACTACCAATTGGGTTCAGTATACACTGCTCAGGTGATGGTTGCACCAAAATCTCACAAATCACCACTAAAGAACTTCCTCATGTAACCAAATAACCACATGTTCTCCAAAAACTTATGGAAATAAAAGGAAAAAAGAAAAGTTCAAGAGATCATTTGTCACAATTAAGCAAGCATACATCTGCCTCTACATGTGTTAACGCTCTCTTGTCTTTGACAAGTCAGCCTGTGCCCTTTGCCCCATATCCTGAAAGGTTCAAGCCTTGAAGATGCGCTGACATTTAAGGAACTACTTGGATTTCTTCAAACCAATTTACCTGATGACTTGGAATATTGCAAGCACTTTTCCCAACAAGATCAACAGACTATTTGAAGATCAATGAATGCACTATGGTATTTTAAAAATAAATACCCTGCATTAAAATTTGGGGACATTTCTAAAGATTAATTAATAGCCTTTCTCCAGAGAACCGGTTTCCCACTGGAAATCTTGCAGAACTTTTCTATGCACCTTTTGGACCTCATAAAAACAAACAAACAAAAACACAATTCTTAGTTCTGCTTGCTCACAGTTTGGTACTGCAGAACTTCTACCATGCATGTGTGTGTGTGTGTGTGTGTGTGTGTGTGTGTGTGTGTGTAGGGAAGAGGGATGCAGTTAAACGGGCTGAATTCAAATGGAAAACTGTCTCCAGTAGATGACAGCTGAAATCTCAGTTCAGTTCTTTTAAACTTAGTTGGACTGCTTGGAATCTGCCTCCACTCCTAGTCTGCACATGTATGGTTTGGTGATCAATCAGAAATTTAGGCAGCCTACATACAGAATTTAGGGATCCCCTTGTCAGACTCTCTCCTTTCTGAGATTTTCCTTCTCACTCTTCAGTTGCTATGGTCGCCCTTACTGTCTCCTCAGGTTTGTTAAGCCAGTAAGACTACAGACTTTCTGTCTTCATTTAAGCCTCCCCTACCTTCAACCGCAGCATGGTGCATACTACAACCTGCCCTTAGGCAAAATTTTTTTAAAAAACCCTGATGATTAATCAAGTTTATTTGCCTTCCAAGTGATGACTGCACTCCGGTATCTGTCTGCTTTTTGGCCTCTCTCCAATGTCTTCAGGTAGTGTGTGCATATATAAATATATACCTATATATTTATATATAATATGTACACACATACATATATTTATATGTATTTTATGTATATATAAAATACATATAATGTATTTAAAAAAATTTTTGCCTAAGGGCAGATTGTAGTGTGTATATAGTGTGTATATATATGTAGAAGGTGGAAGAGTCTATCTAATCCATTCACAGGGAACTTTTTTTTTTTGCAGATTTACCTCTACAAACTCTCAACTCTTGAGCTTAGATCATTGGCATGGGCAATGAAGGAGAGGAAAGGCAGTGCACATTGAAGCAAGGATTAATGCTCAGGATGTTGATACCTATACTCTTCCTGCAGTAAAAATTACCCCAAAAATCAGTGTCTTAAGACAACAAACATATTATCTCTCACAATTTCTGTGGGTCAGGGATTTGGGAGCAACTTAGCTGGCCTATTCTGGCTTGGAGTCTCTCTTGAGATTGCTGTCATATCTTGGCTGGGGCCGCAGTCAAAGGATTGAATGGGGCTGGAAGATCTGCTTCTATGGTGGCTCACTCACATGACTGGTAAGTTGGTTCTGGTTGTTGGAAGAGATCTCTGTTTGTCTCCACATGGATTTCTCCGCAGAGTGTTGCATGAATGTTCTCATAACATGGTAGTTGGCATCCTCTGGTAAAAGTGATCCGAGAAAAAGCAAAGTGGAAGGGACAATATCTTTTATGACATAGTCTCAAAAGACACACACTGTTACTTCCGCAGTATCCTGTTGATCCAACAGATCAGCCCTATTCAATGGGGAAGAGGACAACACAACAGGATGGATACTAAGAGGTAAAGATCAGTGGGGCCTATTTTGGAGGCTAGCTTCTGCTGGTTCCCATAGCTGCTGACAACTTAACTGGGGACATGGCTATTTATTTATTTATTGGTATAAATGTAGAGGGTACAAGTGCAATTTTGTGACATGGATATGTTGCATAGTGGTGAAGTCTAGGCTTTTGGTATCATTATCACCCAAATACTGTACACATTATACACATTAAGTAATTTCTCATTTCTCATCCCCACACACCCTTACCCTTCTGACACTCTACTATTATTCCACACTCTATGTCCATGTGTACACATTATTTAGCTTCCACTTATGAGAACATATAGTATTTGACTTTCTGTTTCTGAGTTAGTTTACTTAATGGCCTCCAGTTCCATCCATGTTGCTGCAAAGGACATGATTTCATTATTTTTGTTATGGCTGAGTAGTATTCCATTTGTGTGTGTGTGTGTGTGTGTGTATCACATTTTCTCTATCCAATCATCTGTTGATGCACACTTAGATTGATTCCATATCTTTGCTCTTGTGAATAGTACAGCTGTAAACATACAAGTGCAAGTGTCTTTTTGTATAATGATTTCTTTTCCTTTGGATATATACGCAGGGGTGGGATTGCTGGATCAAATGGTAGTTCTATTTTTAGTTCTTTGAGAAATCTCCATATTGTTTTCCATACAGGTTGGACTAATTTACAATTCTACCAACAATGTATAAGGATTCCTTTCTCTCCACATCCTCACTAACATCTTTTATCTTTTTGACATTTTAATAATGAGGGACATGGCTTCTTTATGGTAGAAAACATGAAGTAGTTCTAGAACAAACAACTATAATTGTGGCTTCCCAAATTGGTAGGAAAATTCCCAATTTTACAGCTTCTTAGCGGCTCCCTTGGGAGTCCCAGGTGGTTTAGGGACTTTTTAATGGAAGGTCAGCATAAAGTCTATTTCTTTTTTTTTTT